TTCTGCAGTTCTAAATGGCTCCATTATGTTAGTAGTTCAGGGACCAACTTTATGCCTTGTGTTTTTGACTTCAGTGGAGGTTGAACCAAGGATGAATTTAGTTCAAGGCGTTGTCATTTTCATAAGCCCTCTTCCTGGAGTGTTCTCTTGGAGCAGGGGTATCAAACATACAACCCACATAATGTATTTATTGGCCTACATGACATTCAGATTCTCTGTCATCTAAGCTTTCATTTAAAAAACCCCAAGTCTCTAGCCCTACTATTTACAGAGAGAACCTTCCAAATGTGAACTAAGTTTAACTGATGCTTTGATGTTGGCCTAATTCTGCAGATAGCTTGAAACCATGACTTAAGGGTGTGAGCTACTTCCCCCATTCCCCAAGTTGATATTCATTCAGATTAAAGCCCAGTAATGACCCTTCAGTTTCAACATTAGCCATCTAATCAATGATCATTTTGGTGGATGGAATGAAATGGGCAGTAGTGAAGTGAAATGGAGGAGCACACTTGGCTGAAAATTGGGAATTTCTTGAGGGATGGAAATGCTGAGAAAATTACAGAAGACTAGTAAATATGCGGAAGTGGGAGTGAAACAGGCAAAGGAAGATAGAAAAAGAAGAGAAACAAAGCATAGAGATAGTGGTGGTCCTAAAGGGAATAATGTTTTACAATAAGTAATGTATGTGAATAGACGCTAAAGAAATTTAAATAATAAACTATACTTAAAAGTAAGGTTGCCAAGTCAAACACTCAGAAGATTGGAATGATAGAATTAAGGTTGCCTGTGCATACTCATTGTTAGTCTTAAATTACACAATCACATATTATTTTTTCCCTAGTATCCCCTTCTTATTTTACAAATGCATAGGTATTCAATATTGCTTTTTATTTGCATCATTCATTGTGTGGCCCCAGACCTTACTTAACACACACCATCCACTGAATACAAAATTATTTCTGTGGTGTTCTCATAGTATATGAGTGCTTCACAAACATTTAATGAATTTATCTTCATATCTCCCCTCTGAGATTAGGTGGTATTATCACTTTACAGCTGAGGAACTGAGGCAGAGAGAGAGAAAAGATTGAGTGAAGTACCCATTAATTCTGGGTTCCCAATTTGAGAAGCCTAGGACCTGATTTTTTTCAGAGTACTTAGTATTTTATATGTTCAAAGCACAGCTCCCATTGACCTAAGTTGCAACTGTGAGTGCTCAGCACTTCTGCAAATCGGCCCCCAGGTGTCTCATGTTGGGTTCCTAGAAAATGAGGAGCACACAATTAGTGATCTCCCATGAAAAGTTTGGTTTAAGTGTGAGTGACTTGGCGAGAGTCACATAGGAACTCTGTAGCAGGGGCAGGGTTAGAATCCAGTTCTCCAGTGTGCTGTTCAAATTCCTTAACAGTGAGGCAGTCCTATTTCCTCCTGCAGTTTCTTGCCTCATTCACTACCCACCTTCAAACTTCTGCAACAAGGCAGAGGTCCTACAGAAACAGTGTCATTCACTACACAACTCTGATTAATTCCCAAAGTGTTGTCCATACTGTGCACTGAACGAGGCAGGGGTCCTGGGGAAAATTAGTATGTGATCATATGCTTAAAGACTATACATCATAATGCCTATGCACAAAGAGATTGAATTAAGGTTACACAGGCAACCTTAATTTGGGGGTTTCCTAACTTTCAAACAATTGACTTAGCAATCTTAACATTCTTTTAATGTTAGGTTTTTTAATATAACTTTCTAGCTTTTTTTATATGTAAACATTTAAAAAACAACAACCCACCATCATATGGAACAATAGTGATCCTATGTCATCAGCAGGTTTGGGATCTTAAGATCCCCAGTACAGTCCTCTGTCTCTTCTTGGTCATATGGGGTAAGTGGTAGTGATAGAGGTCATGTGGACCTGCTACTAGAGGGGGATGGAGGCACATACTTTGCTGGTGGGTATCTGCTATTTGCTGACCTCGGAGGAATATTGAGACTTGGTAAAAATTGATTCAATTCCAGGTTCTAGGGTGTCATCCTTCACCCCCCCACCCCAAGTATGTTAAATTTAATTATATTATGGTTGCTCTTACCAAGCAGTTAAGCTATAATCACCTCTTGTACCAGATCCTGTGCTCAAGAATTGCCTCTCCTCTTGTGGGTTCCAGGACAAGCTGCTCCAAGAAGCAGTCATTTGTGGTGTCAAGAAATTTTATTTCTGCATCCTGTCCTGAGGTGATATGTCACTATGGGGATAGTTGAAATCCCCAATTATTATTGAGTTTTCTATTTTTATAGTCCCGCTAATCTTACCATCACCATCCTGCTCAGGGGGTTGGTGATTGTATACCACTGTCAAACTTTAACAAGTCTCTATTGAGGATGTGTGAATTGTCATTTGTTGAAGGTTCATAACTTGGCCAAATTTGAGTGAAATTTCATAGGGGTGGCAAAAGGCACATCACTCATAAGAACATAAGAAAGGCAGTACCAGGTCAGACCAAAGGCCCATCTAGCCCAGTATCCTGTCTACCGACAGTGGCCAATGCCAGGTGCCCCAGAGGGAGTGAAC